CAACAGTCTGTTAGTGGGCTTAATATGTCTCTGGGGAAGAGGACGAGGGATCAGAAAATGATATGGGAAATATTGCTCATAATTGGGGCTGTCATTTTTTTTTTGGCATTATATCATACTTACTGAGTTTGGGTGTCTGACAAATGAATGCCAGATGCCTTGCTCTCCTTGTGAGCATATGCAGCATTGAGTATTTGATCTAGTTGATGAACTTATTCTAGGTTATTTTTCCTTTTGGGCAGACTTTTACATCTGTCTTGAACATAAACTAAATGACATCACATACAGTTTATGGTCTTTGTATAAATTGTATATTTATATAGAAATTTGGGTTTAATATTTGCTGTTAATAAGCAAAATATTTTGCAAACAGGTTTACAACTTGTTGAATTTTTATGGAAGGGTTAGATCTTGCATATCTAAAGTCAACTGACAAGTGATGTGGCCTAATTTACATAGACTGGTATGTTGGAGTATATATTTTTGTTAATGCATTTCTAAGCAGAAAAATGTGTTTTTTTGCCTAGTTCTAAATTTAAATGTTCATCCAATTCTGTGTGGGCAAATCTATACTACAGAGTATTTCATAAATAAGGTATGTGAATGCATTCCTTGTGTCTATAGTGAAACTTTTCCTGCCACAATTGTCTTGGCTATATATATAAACAGTCTAAATATAAATTATTTACTGATGTAAGCTGTATCAGTTCTTTGAGAATTTCCCTAAATTGTCAGAACTTTTCTACTGTTTTAGCCAATTTTTCTCTATCAGCGGTGCATTAGCCATCAATCTATGGGGCAGAAGTACTGAAATATAACACAGGTTATCTGAATAAAATGTCCATGGTTAAGAAAGAAACAGAAAAGGGAAAATGCCCAAAGTGTTGTCCTCCCAGGGCAGTGTGCGTAAGTGCTTGTGAATATGCAGTGGCGTTCGCAAACTCCAGTTCTGAGATTAGCCAGGCAAATCTCAGCAAGCAAAATGAAATTTACTCATGAATTTATTCATGAACTGTGTACAAAAACATGACCGAACAAGAACAATTCTGCCAAGGAGAATATAAAAGAAGGAACTTGTACCCATTGGCGTTTTCAGTAATGAATGCCCCAAGGAGAGCTCTTGGGGGTTACGGTGACGCCGACCGGAGTAGCCGACCTTGCAGATCGGGAAGGAGCTGAGGGCCCTTGTGCCCCTCGTGCAGGGCAGGAGAGGCAGAGCTGCGTGGGAAGGGCCTTGCTGGCCTTCCCATGTGGGGAGTTGTAGGAGCTTTTTGAAGAAAAGCACCAGGAATGTCAGCGAGTTCCTGAAGGGGGGGAGCGTGTGTGTGTGTGTGTGTGGTTCGTTTTCCTCTTCTCCCAGCAGGTGGGATTTAGTGGTTTCTTGAGAGTCATCTGCCCTTTCCAAGGCCAGCTCCGTCACTGGAGTTGCTTGAGAACTTGAGACTGGCTATTCTGAACATACAGAATTTCTGCTTGTTTGGTGTGAATGGTTGGTAGCATTTATCATACGTTTTTCCCTTTTCCTTTGTATAAGCACTCTGTTTTGCTCATTGTTTGCAGCCATATGACTCAGGTTTGTATTTTTATTTTAAAATGTGTGTATGTGTGTTGAGGTTTTTGAATCGGTGAGGGTTTGAGTTGCTTTGAGTTAAAAATAGTTATGTGGAGTGATATACTTACTGCACTATATATATATATTTTTTAACCTGTACTGTCTCCTGTTATGTTATGTTACCCTGTGGGACTGTGGCACGATGTTACTACAAGTACTTCAGGAAAGCTTAATTTAGATGTATTCATCCCTCCTTGCCCGCACTTGTTCCCTCCTTCACTTCTGCGTATTCAGTCCCTTGAGTGCCTTGACACAGTTCTTTGAACCACAACCTATACTGAGTAAGTAGCTGCTTTTCATGTATATATGCAGTGATGCAGTGTGATCCATCAGCCTTTCACCATGCCTTAAGTTGTCTTACTCCCTAGGCTTTTAAAGTGGGAAATACCTTCCAGAGCTTTAGAGAAATGGTAAGGGATATTTCCTTTGCTAGGACAACATTTGTGACTCTTGCCACAAGGTGCTAGAAAATGTAAAAAGCTGGGTCAGAGATTGAATCCATGGCCCTACTTGATGTTTCTTCTTGGCTGTTTGCTTGATTAGTAAATGGCCATGGAGGCCTTTGAAATAGCGTGCTAGGTCTTTCCTCTTCATTCCTAAATGGATACTGTAGCATCTGCCTACTTGTTGTCTTGTATTTATACATGGCAGGTGGTGATTTATTAACGCCTTTCTGAGCTTGTAACATCTGCTGTCACAATGGGATTCTTTAGATTCTGAGGCAGTGTAGTCATGAGAAAGATACTTCTCTGATGTGAGCAGGGAGGTTGGACTAGGTGATTTCTAGAAGTCCCTTTCAACCTCAGTCATTCTCTGATTTTTTTTTTCTCCCCTCTTGCTTAGTTAATAAACTAATTGCCCTGTGCAATTTAACAGAGGTTTTTGTAGCTCATTTCACCTGCCCCCACTTCTTCCTTTCCCCTGATTTCCTCCCTCCCTCAAAAAAAAAAAAAGTATATCTGTATCAAACTATAAATTCCTAGAAGGTAAATGAACTGTATGTGTGATGAACTTCTCAGTTACATTGCCATGTCTATTTACCATTGCTGTCATTTACTTCCTTTGTAGTGTAAAACAATTGTGGCCTTTCAAGGGTTAAGCTTGATCAACTGTCCCACCCAGGCAAAAGTTAGAGCTTCTAAAAATTTCTTGTTTGTACACAGAATTTGCAGGGTATTTGTAGAATTACTGGCTTCTCTTAAAAGTAAATAGTTTTCTTGTGGTTTTTGGAAACAAGCTGATCACCCTGCTTTGTCCAAAGTAAACATACTGAAATTTATTTTAACATTTAAAATGCATCTGGATTCCAAGCTCCTCTGTTGTTTGTTTGCTTTTTCCTTCTATTTTTCTGCATATTTACAATTGCTTAGAAAATTAGAGAAATACTGCACTTTTTTTCTTTTTTTTTTTTGCTAATTGAATTTTTTCAATTATTATTTCAAATACCACCATTATTTTTCACTTTGAGTATATCTTCACTGTTTGTTATTACTGAAATGACAATTGAAGGCTTGTGAAAAAATACAGAATCTTGTAAGTAATGGATAATATTTTGATTAAAAATAGTTAAGGAAAATACATCGCAACTGCAGCTTTAAAAATCTTTTCTTAGCTGTCTGTCATCTTGCTGGCATTTTTCAAAAAAAAATATGTTTATAACATTAGTTCAGCTAATAGTTATACAATGAATGCAACAGGGAAAAAAAAACAATTCTGGAACAATGATCACTCCTGTTTTGGGAGACTCCCCTATTTAACTTTTAGAGGGGTTTTGTGGCTCTAGACAGTGGTGTGGTAAAATGTCACTGTCGTGTGAATGGGAGTTCTGATGGGAGTCTTCATTCTTTCAATCGCTTTATCTGATTAATAGGAAAAAAAAGTATGAACTGCCCTACTCATTTTAATGGCAGTCAGGTGGAAAATATGTTTAAGTACAGTGTTCAGATTTTTTGGTTGGTCTTTTCTGTCATTCTTTCCTACTTCAAGCATAATTTTTTCAGGAAAAGTGAAGGAGAAAAAGTATCCTAAAAATAAGTGGATATTATGACAAGTTCTACAAGAGTCTTCATCTTCTTCATATGGTGTGTGCAACTTCTGGAGGTTCAGAAAGTATCTTTAGAATAAACATATGTTCTTGGAGTTAGCTGAACAGTTGAACTCAGCACTGGAATCAGGTATATTACTTCAATATTTGATAAGTGTGAAAGTACAGAGATCTGGTCAGAGATCTGGTATAGGTGTGTATATTTGCCATGAATGTGACCAAATACTGGACCTGCTTCCCAGAGGTTTTGTGGGCTTTCCATCCTTGAAGAGTTTCAGAACTTTGTAGGAGGGGACCTGAGCAACCTGAGCTAATGAGCCCTGCTTTTAGTGGGGGCCTGCAGAGGTCCCTTCATCCTAAATTGTGCTATGATTTGGTATATCGGAAGACCGAAATGCAAAATGAGATGTGCACCTATTGACCTCACGATGCACCGCAGAGGACAGTGCTGTTTAACTTCTCTCCTCCTCCCCCTTCCCCCTCACCCTCCCATTTCAAGTTCAAATGTCAAAATACAATCCTTAAAGGAGCAAAGAGTGTGCTCATCTCATGTTGATTATTTTATATATTTTTTTAAGCCTAGTGTGCATATAGTGTGATTCTTTTTTCCTTTGTAATTTACACATTTTATGCTTTGCTTCATCTGCTTGTTAGACATTGTAAACTTGCACATAGAAACTGAGGATAGCATCTTTTTAATAGGGGGAAAAAAAAGCATTTTTGTCCAAACTGTCAGGGAAGGAATATTTAATGAGGCATTTTTTCACAGAGTAGTTGTGATTTCATTAATTTGGCACAAGATGAAAGTTAAGGAGGAATAATGGGAGAGGATAAACTTTTATAAGCTTTTGTGTTGTGAAATTCCATGGTTAAGAGAAAAAAAGGAAAAGGTTATTTGTCTCTAATCTGATAGTTTTTCTTTGCAACAGTCACTGTTAAATCTCATGTGTTTTTAAAGCTGGTTTGCAGAGGTTAGGACTGGGGTGGTGATATGCGCTTTTGCTCTCTGATGGCAAGCAGCAGCTTTGAGCTGAATGTTGGGAAGTGCAGTGAATAGCTCCTGTGAACTGTGCCCTCTTGTTGGGAGTGGAGCTTAGCCCACAGTATAATTTGCTCTTCCCTGTTACGTTGAAGAAATATAATGTCATTATGTACGTGTTGGCTCTTCCACAATTATTTCACTAACAGAACTTACCTGCTGTTATGAGGAGAGTTCTGAGGCAGTTGAATCCATGCTGCCCATTCCAGGTGTCACAAAAGCTCTCATGGACAGTAAGGGCTTTTGGTCAGGCTCATGATTTTGTAAATGGTGCTGTGGTGTATCATAATAACTCTTTGTTAATTTATATAGGTGATGAAGATCTTCTCCGAGCTTTGTCAAGCCATGGTTTACCAACAACTACTTTGACAACTAAAACTGGTCATGGTAATGGGTCTGAGCACCCAGAGTACATTGCCTTTGCACTGGTTCCTGTTTTCTTCATCATGGGTCTCTTGGGGATCCTCATCTGTCATGTCCTTAAGAAAAAAGGATATCGTTGTACAACAGAGGCTGAACAAGTAGAAGAAGAAAAAATTGGCGAAAAAATAGGTAATCAGTGAGTCTAGTAAATGCCTCTTACATACTTCTCTACTTTACAGAATACTAATACAGAATAGCTTATTATGATACTTCTGTCCTTTTTCTCTCCCTGTTAAACATGACCTTGATGCTTTTAGGATAAGTGGGTTTCTTTTTGTCTATTACCATGACATGGTCTATCAGTTTTGGTCTCAGCAAGTCCAAACTAGGAGTCTTAAAATTTTCCATGCAAGCCCTCTTAAAAGATATTAAGAGCTTGTGGAGGGATCAAAACATGCATTTATTTATAATGTTAGTGGCTGTAAACTGTTGTGTGAGTCACCAGAGTGCTTTACTGCGTATCGTGTGCTGTGAGTAATAACAAAGTACTATACATAACTGCTTAATAGAGTGACATAAAGCTGCTGCTTAAAGCATAGTATGTCTTAGGTGCATGTTTAACAATCTTAAACTCGTGCTGTCATTCTCATCTCCCTTCTCATCATAAAACTGAGCCTCTAGTCAAGTAAAAAGGAAGATAGTCAAACATGTCCTGTTTTCTTAAAGATATCTTCGCCTTATTTTTTTCCTAATGTTTTTCTGCTCTTTTCATGGTTTCCTTTTCTTGCCTTTTGTTAATTACAAAAAGTATCATGAGGGAAGCGCTATAGGAAGCCCGTGTTGCAGGTAACTGGTAACTACAAGGGCCAAGTCCCTGCAGGGGCTTTGGGCGTCCTCTCTGCCAGGTGACAGATCATGAGGCAGGAGGTTTACAGCTAGCCCGGGTTACAGGGGCTGTGGGGCCAGTGAGGAGCCAGGTGAGGCTGTAACGACATGTCAGCATGTTCTCCTTAAGCAATTGCTGCCTGGGAAGGTACTTAGCAGCTGGTGTTATTGGATCTGCTATTGCTAATGAGTAATAGGAGGCAAGGTGAGGGGTAGTAAAAGGGTCTGCTTGGGACTGTAAAGTTACAGGCAAGAGGCAGAAATAAGGAGTGAGTAGAGAGGCGGGGAAGCCCCCCCACAAATGGGGTCTAGAAAAAAAACACAGGTAGAGACAAGCTTGCAAAGTTAAAGGCAAGAGGCAGAAATAAGGAGTAGGTGGAGAGGCAGGGAAGCAACCCCACAAATGGGGTCTCAAAAAAAACACAGGTAGAGACAAGCTTGATAGATTAAAGATACTCCTAATGATTATTAGGGAAGGGCAGAGCTGGTGCCTGTCTCTCTCTTTTTTTTTTTTTTTCCCTACTTCTTTGCTTCCTCTCCCTCCTCTGTCTCTGTGCTGAGATTGTTCTGAGGAATCTTCCAGCATTGTTTCAATGGGTACAATTGACTCCTGCTGCATTAAGTTTAGTCAGGATGGTTCTCTCCTGAATTCTGGGTTCCTACAGTCATGAGAACCTTGGTGTAGAAACGCACACACGATATATATTTAAATTAAAAAGGCAAATTTTGACTCATGGTAGTTGTGTAAACTTTAGATTGGATCACTTGTATAGCAGAAGCACAATAATGTCTACTTTAAAATAATGCCTTCAGATACTTTATTAATTTGCTCTGTCCTCTATAGTGGGGATTAGAAATGCTACTCTCGTTTGTGTTTCCTTATGAAATAGAGAAGGAATTTTGATGTGTGTTTATGGAAGTACAGAGCTTTCTAAAATCTTGCATGAAAATATCTTGGATCTGTGTGTGCAGATTCCTCAAATTTGTGGTTTTCCTGAATAAGGACTAAAAAGTCTGATGTAAGGTTTCTGTAGTGATGATAGATCTTTGTATTTTTTTAATGTAACATTCTTCTAATTTTTCTCATTTTGTTTTTGAATAACTCAACTTTTCTTTTGGGAGGCCAAGATATTGATGATATTTTTTTTCTTGCACAGAAATGAATGAAACTATGCATGAGAATAGTGACACTGTGGGACAAATTGTTAACTACATAATGAAAAATGAAGGTATGGTATGAGATATTGAAGTTATAAGCCTTTGTGGTGGTGACTGAGAGCAAATACGTTTTTTCAGATACTCTGAAGTATGGTATATTCATGTATTCCCATTTAATAATCTTTTTGTGCATTAAGATTGTCTTCAGAAGGCCATAACTTCAGTCAAAATGGGAAAGTTTCTGTTTACCTGAGAACTATTTTGAGTATGTTTGGTTTGTGCCTTTCTTGATGTTTTAGTGAGTATTTTTGGTGCTTGTGTTGGTTGAATTTTTGCTTTTTTATCTTTCTTCTTGAAGTAAACTCAAGCTCATTTAGAGTGGGTAAAGTTTAAATTTAAACTGCATCAGGCTATCTTGAAATGATTCCTGCAGCTCTAGTCCAAAAAACAATCTCTGTGATTGAGACAACATGAGACTGTCTAGTCTGTTTTATTTCAGCCAAGCCTTTTTTATGTATTACATGCACAAAGTAAAAGGGAAAGAACATACGATTGAAAAAAATCAACCCAAGCTTATGCAGTCTGAGAACTGCTTAGTTAGACTGCATGTTTTATAGTACGGTAACTGTGATTTATACAATGTAAAACCAAAACAACTGAAGTTCTCTTAAGTATTGGACTTTCCTCTGAGTTAATCCTGGATGAAGACAGTCCTCTGGATTTTTTCCTCAATAATCCTTAATTTTTTTTAGCCTGTATGGGTTGGGATTAGGTAACCACATTTGTTTGTTTTGAAATATGTGATCAATTTGTGTTTCTTGGCTGATAGTTAATATGCAATTTTGTAGCGCACATTTATAAATAAGTGTTCTTCATCTTTGAAATTGCTTTTTACATATGAGGTGATGCTGCTGCTGTGATCAAAAGGAAGTTTAAAAGCTTTTTTTCTAACTTTATCTGCGAGGGTTGTTCAGTTATATGTTATGTCCTGTATTGGGCAGAGCTTCAAGTGCCATACGAACTGTCACTTTAGTATCTCAGGTTAAGAAATTCTTACAGGATTTTATTAAGATTTTGCATAATTTTGTCTCATGCTTTGTTGGATATTTACGTAATCCAAGCATCTCTGGAATAGATGAAATTTGCTAGAACACCTTTGGTTTTGCTGTTTGCTTCTCTAAAGTTAGAGCTGTACACTTAAGAATTACATTTATTCTCATTGCAGCAAATGCTGATGTGTTAAAGGCCATGGTAGCAGACAGCAGTGTTTTTGAACCTGAAAGGTAATGACTCTTCTTAACATGTGTCTCCAGAGCCAACTAAGAACAGATCCTTTCAATGACCCCGTGTGAATGGAAGCATGGTGAAATGACATCCTTTAATGTAACAGTTTGCTAACTGCCTAAATCTACCAAAATTTAGTATCATTAATCTGGAAACTTAGTCAAAGTAGCAACATATTTAATTTCTGATATATTATTTTAAATTACTTTTCTTGCCATGCTAATACTGTGTGTGTAGTGCATAGTTTTTAACTTTCTGTAACTTGGAAGTACAATTTTGGTTATATGAAACCTAAAGCCTCTTGGAAAAAAAAATCTCTTTAAGTGACTCTGGAGAGTCTTCTTTTTTTCTGGTTTTGCTTCATGTGCACTTCTGAGGCTACATCACTTCCTGAGTCCTCAGCTAAGAGGATAATATTATGATTTCCTTATGCTGTTCTTTCCAAGTCACTATGCTTCAGTGTATGCCCTCTGATACACTTCTCTTTATTATTTTGTTCTTCTGGTATTTCTGCTTTAGGAATGTAATGTTTGCTGCTTTTTGCACCAAAGTTTCACAGAGGCTGCACCTGTTTACTTTAGGGTGAAGTTGCTGAGTAGTTTTGGATTAAAATAACTTGGCATTTGAAAGGACAGAAACAGCACTTGTTTCATTTGTGCAGATGTTAACTTAAAATAGACATCTCTTTCTATGCCTCTTTGTGTTCTGCTTTTTCGCTTTACAAAGGAGGTAATAAGAATATGTATTGGCTGGATTCTCTCTCTCTCTCTCTCTGTCTCTCTCTCCTGCATGCATCATTTGCTTTTAAATGTTTGTACTTGTACGTCAGCACCCACAGCTATACTACTTTGAATACTCTTAATATATAATCCTGCATTCATATTCAAAGCAGGGAGGTGAAGGTTCAAGTAGGATATGTTGCTAATTTAGAAAAGAGCTGTGGAAGTGTGTTTAGGATTAGCAATAGGAACAGGATTATGTAACAGATTATCTCTTATTTTAACTGTAAAAGATGTTTAGTTATTAAGTAAAATAACTTGTTCTTCTCCCATATAGAATTATCTTGAAATTTGGCATATTTTATATGGTACAAACAGGAATATTTGGTTGAATTCTACCTCCTAGACTTCCTGTGGGTGGGCGTGTGATGTTATTTGAGAGTTTCAGACTTGTTTCAGTGGTGAACTTGGGTATCGTTATGGTATCATTAAAAGTGGGGTCAAGGGAATGGGGCCTTAGGTACAAGATGTCGTTGATGGCTCTTGTGTCATTTCTGACAGGTGCTCCCAAAGCCTGGTAATACAAGCAGAAATCCATTGTGTTACCTCATATATGCTGTGCTTTAGGAAATGCTTTCTAATGATGGAAATAGTAATGGCTAACCTGCACTTTGATCATTACTTGTTGTGTTTGCTGCACGTTGAACGGATTTTATATCCCTTATTTCATTCTTTTGTTCTGAGACTGTTAAATGTCTCCTGTCAATACTTTTTGTTTATTTTCAAAACATGGTAGTAATTCCAGTCTGTCCTGGCAGGTTTTATTTCTGTAATCTGTTCTTGCTCCTCTCCTTTTGGATTCCCTTCACTTGGACCATATTTTTCTTACAATAATAATCCCGGAGCTGGGTGGGATGCTCCAGGAACCCTACGACATGATTATTGCGGAGTAGTGTAACGGAATTTCTGTGGTAACTTCACATGTTATCCTCCTGTTACTTTCATGTGCAATTTCTAGTCTCATCTGCTATGGTTACTGTGAGATTCTTTAGCTGGTTTCCTATCCTGTTGTTCAGAAAGCTTTCTAAAACACCCTGTGTCCTTAGGACCAGAATAACTCCACTTAATGTGTCTTTCCAATCTACTCGCGTATAACAGTCTCTCTCCTTTCTTTTTTTTTTTTTTTTAAAGGCAAGGTTAAACAGTAATTTCATCTGTGATGCACTGTGCTCTAGCTTATCTTATGGGAGTGTGTTGCAAGGCAAGATCAAAATCAATATTGAAGACCAAAAATATGTATGATGCTTTCTACCTTTGCTATCTTATTTGGTTATTTTGTTTTAGACTGGCTTGCTGTTTTCTCGATAGATGTGTTTTGGTTGTTGCACTGCTTTTTCTTACCTTCTAGGTCTCTTAGAGTTTCGGTGTTTTTCTGAGGTTTAAGCTGCATAGTCTGCTATTCTTTTTTCCAGGGTAGACATTTGTTTTGCCTCTTCCCAATACTGTTGGCCTATGTGTGTTTATGAGGCTTTTAAAGATAATGTAATGTTTCTGAAATGCTTTTGTTAGTTCTCCAAGGGTGCACTTCAGCAGCTGATTATGTCTTCACCTATATTAGTCCTTTTAACTCCTTCTCCTCTCTATTTCAGCTTGATGATTTTTTTTTTTAAAAAAAACTTCTCTTTCCATTTCCTTGCCCTCTGTGTTAGTTAAATCGATCACTTGCCTCCAGTTGAATTCATTTGGGGAAGAAATTTTAACTGCAAAAAGAAGTTTATGTTATGATATATATGAGGGAGAACCTTAAATAAGCACTCTCGGAAGTAAGCTGTCCCCCATAAAAGTACTGCTCATTAGACACAGCTAAAAGTTATATGTTATCATTTTCCCTTTTAAGAAAAGAGATTTTATAGTAAACTTTGCCATTTCTTTTGTACTTTTCCCACAGCCCTTTATCTCCAACCACTCCTGGAAGTCCAACAACGCCAGGGTCTCCTCTGTCTCCTGGTGCTATTCCGTTTAAGCACAGCTGCAAAGGCCATCACTTCCATACTGTCGGAGGGGTAGCAGAGAAGGACGTTTGTACTCGTTGCAGTCACAAACGATGGCATCTTATAAAGCCAGCTCACAAACCTAAAGAGCACCGAAGGAGCCGCCTGGGAGAGGTTACGGTTCTTTCTGTGGGAAGGTAAGGCATGGGGTTTCTAGCACGGCCCTGTTGGAGTATCCAAATAGTCCTACACATACAGCTTCTATTCGTGTTCCTATGCCTGTAAGGAGATCAGAGTGGGTAGGTCACCACAGTGAAGACTCCTCTGTGTTACCCATGTATAAAGGGCTGTCATACCCTCACAATCCTTTCTTGCAGAAGTCTTTGAAACACTAATCGTGCATTTGCAATGCTTAAGTGGTACTTAAATCCACTTATGTTACAGATTATGTTTCATTTCTGTCCAAAGGCCTGGCCTAACACTTGGAGTAGTCTGTGAAAAGTGAGATATTTGCGTTCTTTTATTGCACTTGCTTCTTTATGTATGTTTGAAGAGAATGTTGTTATATAAAGACACCATTTTTTTGTTTTACTCATCTGCAGTAATTTCATATGCTTTGCACTTGAGTCCAAATTTTGGACTGACATCTAGAGTTAGTAAGAAGATAAAGGAGCCCATTGGATGAGAACCAAGAAAACACTTGGGTAACCAAGGAGGTTAGACAAAATTGCTAGAAACCTTGAAGTGACATTATTGTAAAAGCTGAGAGCCCGCAGGATGTTTGAGGGATTTTCTTCAACTTCCTATGAGATTTCAGATTTCAGAAAAGCATGCAGTTGATCTAGAGGTGTAGGTATTGGGGCCATGTCTAAAAGAAAGGGACAGTTAAGGATATTTGAGGAAGACTTAATTTGAAAGGGTAGTTATGTCAAAGGAGCTTTACACTGACTTTACAGTGAGAAATCGTCCTTACAATAGGTGTTGCCTAGAGGTCACGGCACTCAGCATATGGAAAACTGAAGTCCCAAGGGTTGAGGTTGAATGAGACAGAGTTTGGAAGTGGATGTGATTCTCATGTATTTAAAGCTTCATCTGATTCTCCTCTGTCCACCTTCTAAAAAAACCCTATAACCAACCAAATAACAAAAACTCAAGGAATTCAGGTCTTTTGTAGTATAAAAGAGGTCTTTGGGTCTTATGAAGATGGGTAAACTGATTGTCGTCCTTGCTTTCCCAAAGCAACTAACAGCTGCTTTATTTCTGCCCCTAAAGGCTTTGAGACAAGACACAGCAAATTCTGTGTGTTTTTTCTTTTTTTTTTTCCCCCTGTCAGCTCAGTATGTGATTAGTGTGTGGTTGGCTCAGTTTAGTAAGTATCAAATGTGTTGTACGCTTTATGAAGAGCTTGCAGGAGGCTGCAAGGCTTAAGCAGGGTTACTGGAACTCATTCTGAATGTGACAGGTAGCGTCAGGGCTGATTGAGCAGCAGTGTGTATTTAAAAGTATGCCTAGGTAACAGGGAGGGGGATTGTTCTGAGGTGCTCCCTGGCTTGCAGGACCTGTCTCTCTCTGGCCTAACAGTTCTCCTGCTGCGTGCACAGGTTGCTGGAGGGCTTTTCCTAAGTTCTGTTACTACGGAAGAGGAAGGTACAGTGGGTCACGTATTGTGAAAACCTGGAAATGAAATGAAATGCCTTTGGTTTTGTTCTCCCCTTTCTCCTTCTGAAATATGTCTTTGTGCCATACATTTGAGTCACTCTTTCTTCAGTCTGATTTCCTGCTGGCTGGGACAGACATGCAGTCATTAAAGGCCTAAAAGTCTCTTCCTGTCCATGCACTAGATACCGAGAAAGATTTAGCTAATCTCTGGGAAAATAAAATGGAATCTTTCTTTTGCTCCCTTAAGATTTAGAGTCACAAAAGTGGAGCACAAATCGAACTCCAAGGAGCGGAAGAGCCTGATGTCTGTCAGCGGAGTGGAGAGTGTCAACGGGGACATGCCCGTTACGCCGGCGAAACGGGAATCGAGGGAGGTGCCTGCGACGCCCGCGAAACCGGCAACGCAAGAGAGAAGGGGCTCCGAGTAAGCTGCAGGTATCACTATAATGTTGAAAGTAGTATGTGAGGAAATCATGCAGCTGCTAAAACAGATCTGCAAAATACACATTTGATTGTTCAGGTAGTGATAAATGGGTAAAGGCTAAACATATCCTGCAGATTCTTATCTAAGTCATTTAGACTTCATAATTAAGAGATACATTGAAATTATTTTTTAGAGGTGGCTTCAGAAGTCCAAGAAATAGAACATCTGTGTACTGATTTCCACCCCCCTTCTTCCTTCTGTGAATAGTAGTTTAGTAGCTTTGCTGCTTTCTCTCCAAAAGAAACAAGTACAGCTGACAGCTGTTTTCCTGGAATAACTACAGTGCTTCTTTCTTTTGCTTGCTGCACAGTGCTTTGTACTGGTATCAGGTGACTGATATTTCTCTGATAAATCAGTGGAACTCTGGCTAATAGGGAGGTAGAAAGATGAGACTGCTCCTAAGACAATGATCTCTTCTACTTACGAAGTCAGGAATGTAAAGAGTGAGATTTTCTTGCATTAAACTACAATGAATTGCTTCAAAAATACCCTATTGAATATCTTGAAAAAGAAAGAGGGTGTACGGTCCAGCATTTTGGAATGTGCTCCTGACCATTTTGCCTTATTCTCTGTTCTTTTTAAAAAAATATTTCTATAACATAATATGATTTGTTTCTAACTGATGACAAGAAGTTGATAGCCAGCAGGGGAAGGGCCGTTTTACACGGATGATAGAAAATGGAGAGTCTGATCCTTGGTGAAGGAAGGAGTTATGAGGGGTGATAAAATAAAGGCTTTAAGGAGTCTTGGTAAAAATGCACCAACTGCTCACTAACAAGTCTCCCTCTGAAGTGTTGTCAGCGAAGCTCAACTTCAAACTCTTGGCTCTCAGTAACTTCAAATATAAGGAAGTGCACAGGTGGAAGTTAAATGTTATGTTTAAAACAACAGCAACAACAAAAAACCCAAACCCTTGGCTGCCTGGGAGCTAAATTCAGGAAGATCAAGGTGCAAGATAAGGTCTATTTCTATTTATTGATTTATTTTCATGTACTACCATATCCGTTCTGTGAGTTCAGAAAGGAAGGCAAAGGAGCAAGCTGGTGTGCGAAGCTGTGAGGTGCCTCTTCCCTACCTCATACTGGCAGCCCAGGGATGACCCTTAACCAGGGCTGTGTTTGCCTGGACTCTGTGCCTAATTCCTGATACCCATCACAGGGAGCCACTGCCTTAGGGAACCACTGCACATGGTGCTGAGGTACCTCCATGTGCTTTAAAAAGCTGCCGAGGGCGCGGAGGTGAGCAGCAGGTACGGCGCCCTGCCAAGAGAGATGCCAAGGAGCTACGGTCAGTCAAGGCAAACAAAAACCTTGCTTTTTGCAGATACAGAGTTATGTTCTGACGCTCATATTTTTCTCTTTTCTTTTTGAAATTGCTGCTTTTCTCCCATTTAAAAATCAGTGCTAGTGAAATGAAATGGGACATAAATTATTTTTACACTAGCTACGTTGTCATTGTCACGACTGTTGTACAGTTGGATTGTTACTTCTGTGTGCTTTTTTTTCCCCTGTATCTCCTGCAATTGGCATGATCTGACTTAGGAACATGTTCTCTTCCTTAGGGCAGTCTGACTGTCTTCTCTTTAAACAATAAAAATAGTAAGAAAAGGGCATACATGAGAAGTTAATTGTAGTGCACTATAGATTAAAAATCTATGTTTGAAATCACTCTTAAAACTGCAAAACATTATTTTTACTTTGGTTTTCTTTTGTTACGTTAAAGAAAGCTGTTCTCTGTAATTTTAGAAACTTTTAGTTTCTAAACTTGAACTATTATTACTTTAATCTAAAAATAGGGTGTTCTCTAGAAATTTACAATGGTACAGCTGTAAAAGAAAATGTCCATCTATGGCAGTTTCTTATTGTAGAGTCTCCCTTAGGGTTCAAAATGTTGCTCTTTCTGAAAACAAGTTTTCTAATAGCAGGGAATGAGCTCTACAGTTTCTTGTAAAGGTCTCTCCTGCTCAGCATAGCTATTTTCTAAATCATCTGGAAAAATAGCCGGGGCTGCTTGGTGTGCACAACAAAAATCAAACAGATCCTTCTTAAATGGCAGAAATAGCCATCCCTAATATGGTTCAAGCTCAACTTTGGTCCATGCTGACATGAAAAAGCTGTTCATATATAAACATAAAAATACTAGTTAGATCCTTGCTTCAATTGCTTATTTCAGACATCTAATCTGTGAAATTTTAGTAGCTCAATTTGCTGAAACTGAACAGATAAGCAACATTTAGTACTTGTACCTGAGCCAACAGCAAATGAAAAGTATGTAATTTTATCGAACTAGACTCAGATTGTCAGATGTAGTGGAGGAGTGGAGGCATGGGTGCTGTGGCAGGAGGTAAAAGACACAAAACAAGAGGATTGTTTTGGCATTTGGAGGCAGGAGGTTTGTACCAGCTGATGCTGTGTGCAAAGAGATGTCTCGTTTCTTCTATTTGCTGTTAGCCTGAGTTTGGGGTTTCTTTCCTCCCCAGGCTGACATGTTCTTAGTATTTTCTTGCAGAGAGCTCTGCAGTGTTGCAGCTTACATGGGTGTTGTGTTGACTGCAGCTTTTTAGGTTGGATCACACCTTTTCCCTCTTTGTGTCCATGTTCCCAGTGGACTCCGTTGACATACCGCTAATACCTGAAGTCAAAATTCTAATTTGAACTCTTGCACTTCCACTGTCATCTACTGAAAATACTGGGAAAAAAAACCCAAAAAACAACCCCCCCCCATATTTGTTTGTGCACTAAGTTTCTGTAACACTTTTAGTTCTTAGCCTCTCTTTTGGAAAAAGTTGTGCTTTGTGTTGTGATGCAATTTGTCGGTTGGTGTCCACATGTTTGCCCATCATCTTCAGGATTGCCCACTGAAATTTTAGTTTCTTTCCTTTATGGCTTTATATCCTAAAATTTGTAATGCCTGCCTGCCATGTTATGTAATTGAATTGGAATTCTAGAGAAACTTGTGTAATTTATTGCCAATTTGCATACAGAAAGTTTTTTGAACCTTTTTTTTTCTCTCAATTTTTGGAATATCTTCTTATTTGTTAATATACCTGTTCATCCTACAATGAATATTGCTACTTACACTTCTTTTGATAATTGTTTTCTTCTCTTTCAGGTGGGACTTTTAGAAGAAAAGTGTCTGCTAAGAATTTGGAGAAAACTGAAAACTCCAAGAGGCATATTATTTAAAGAAATGTATTTATGGCACTGTAGCATTTTTACAAGTTCTGTGATGACTCCTATGCGAAGTTAAATGCTTAATGGCTTTTCACCAATAGAACCAGTGAGATTTAGATGCTTTAGTGCTGAGCTCTGAGGACCTCACTGGACTTTGTATAATCTTTACAAGTATCTATACTTGTAAAGCAAAGTATCTATAACTTTTCTTGGCAGTAAAAGCCTCATTAAATAACCTTGATTTTTGTTTTTAGATAAGTATTTTCAAGAGCTCAATCTTTTGATTAATTACCTTATGGATAAGTCATGTCTACCCCTCTGGTCCATCTGTTTTTTTTTCTCCTCCGTTCTTCCTCTGCAGAGTTCATGGCATTTAAGACGAGCCACGTTTAATAATCGAACTGATGAAAGACAACCAAAATGTCCAAGGAAACAAATACTGTATCAGCCCAAATCTGCATGTGTGTAAGCATCTCACAGTACAGACTAGTTCAGCCATATGCAGCTGTTAAGGGGGAGGAAACGCTGATATCATTTATCTCAATAACTGCTTGACACAAGGCTAAAGAGCCTCGTTTCTATGTATGAGCGTTTCTTTGGATGAGCTCTTGGGGAGGCCACTTTCTTCGAGGCTGTTTGTCCTTCTGTTTCCTTGCCTGTTTTTCAGGAATGAATCTCGCCTTTCTTTTTTGTTTCCTCCACTCTCTCCAGATTCCTTATTAAACTAAGGCAACCTATTTCAGCAGTTAGATAAGCATGTGGAATGTATGATATGAAAAATTTCAGACTATACTTAAGTACTTCAGAGTGGCTTTATTGGACTGAGGATAGGAGTTGTCAGTGGCATGAAAATGTTAAGCCATGGCATCACTATCTTTATATTTTTAGTGTGACTTACTGGTAAAAATATCAGTGACTGTTCTGTAATGCTGTTTTTTTTTGCGTGTGTGTTTACTTACTACAATCTCTGCTTTATTTTATTATTTGTTACTTGGGTATCTATGCAATAATTCAGCAAACTTTGCTGTATAGTAGAAACTGAAAAAAAAAATTGCTCTGAGTGCCTAAGAATATGTAAGATGTAATATACTGCCTATTAATAGAGATTGCACTATATTCTGAGAACTATAAAATAATTTAATCTTTATGAACTTACTGAAAAAATCAGTGGCTGTTTTGAAATTGATGTTTTAAATTAATGGTCTCAAACTTTTTAGTCTAAATGTTCTAAACTGTGTTTCTCCTTCACATTTTAAGCGTCAGATCTTTTCATCAGCCTGTGCAATGCTAACAGTCAATATGTAGAAAGATAAATCTTCCCACTTAAAATTCTGGATGATCCTCACAGCTTGTCAAGCTTATGGGGTTATTGCTGGGAAGTGTGTGCTACCTATGGTTGCCTTTTGACTTGTATCTGCAAAACACAATCTGGACCTATCAGTGCATATGTCTCTGACAGTCCCTGCCTGTTTGCAAAAAAACACTTTCTAAAGAGAATCAGAGGTTTATTATTCTTATAAAAATGGTATTTTTACAGGTGATTGTCCATATTTGAGTCCCTAAAATAAGCTTGGCCATGACTGGTACTTGAATGTCTAACATCCTTGCTCCTATAAATTTAAGAGAGAATTTATAAGATCTTTACATTTTTTAAGTTTAACATAACCATCAATCTTGTCTTACAGCTGCTGAGAGGCATATATTTAATAAATTCTTGCATTCTTGTCCTCTCCAAACTTTGCTTGATTATTTCTGTAAAGAGAGCTTAATG